TTAGAAAGCGCAACATGTTATCGGACCACATGCAAGGGACTGTCAAACATTAAACTCACTAAAAGTGCTAAACGTTGTTCCTGATTTGAAAAACAGAAGAGACGAACAGTAGTGCGTTTACCTTTTGAAAAATAAAACGTCGTATATCGAAATGCACGCCGACACTGCTGAAGTGAGAAGGAGGGGTCTGTTAAACAATTTGCAAAATTTACTCAGTGAAAAAGGGGGGAAGGGGGGTACCGAAAGTTCAGTCGAAAAGCGATTACAAAATGCAAACCAAGGTTTATAAACCCAATACACGCAACAGAACAAAACACAAAAGTTTAAGGACAACGACGAACTATAAGGGAGTAGCATTTATGCTGATTTAGTAAGAAGCAGTTTGAAATAACACGGGGAGAATCCCGTCGAAAGGTAAAGAACAGTGAACAGAATGACAATGAGGGGCCAAAACAGCAGGCTATTCAATCTGTTACGGAGACTACAAAACGTTTTTCGGAATGAATTTATTTTCGGAAGTTTTCCTCAGTGACTAAGGCTGTCAAACGCCATGTATTAGATGGAAACAATTCTTTTCTTCTTCACCTAACACGAGAAATAAAGGCCTCATTTTGATAGAGAGAAACTAAAAGGCATTCTTTATTAGGATATCTATTCACATGAAGTATGGTTTTGGAATTAGGAACTCTACCGAGAAATATATCAGAACAGGCTTCTTCAGTAATAGATACAACATGAACATTTCGGGTGTCATGTTTGTTTTCTTATAACTGGCGATAATTTATCCATTTACTGTATGATTAGAGACCATCGACAAGTGGTTTAGGTCTCCACATTCAATACTGCGTTTTATCACACAAAATTGTGAGTCGAACATCATATGGAGTGAACACTATAGTCACGAGGGCCGGTTGTTTACTTATGGAAACAGGCAACCTAAGCTCTGGGACTTGGAGTGGTGAATCACATAATGCCCCTCTGGGTCTGGCGTGGTACTGAACCAGACGACCGCAAAGCTCTCCATGACCAAAGTTGGGTGGAGATAGCAGGGTTCTACCCTCGAACTCTAGGGTCTAAAATTAGTTGCTGACAGTGAATAAAATGGATTTAAACACAATATGCTGTATGTGACATGTCAGTTAATCATTTTAGCTGCTTTTTTAAAGTGACACGAGCTGATAACTTTTCACAAGTGCACAAAGGGGAGATGCACGTAATAGCAATAGTTGTAGGTTAGATTCCTGCAAGTTCCGGAGAGTAACGAACATGGTGGTTGATTGTGGCCCGGTGATCGCCAGTACAAGAAAACCTATTACACAATGTGTTGACTTAAAAATAAAGCGTGAATTTATCCATTCTGCATCCGATAGAATTATTACTCAGAGGTGATTAAATATCAACAAGTGTGTAGCGAGCACTTTGACAAATCACCTCATTAGAACACATTAGGATGAGATATTGGGTTTCTTCCAAATAATTACAATGAAAGTGGCTCAAAAACCATCGATTTGGAAAATAAATGATTAGTGACGAAGCCAGGTTTGACTTCGATGGGTAGGATAATTTACATGAACNTTTGGGGGGGGGGGGGCAACATGAAAAACATGTTAAATTCCAGTCTAGGTTGCGTTTTTCGCAGCTGGTTTTAGTCAGATGGGAACCCAAATCGACCAAAGGAAAAACAAGGACAGTTACAAGAACATTCTAATGTTTCTTTGTACAATTTGTCCCAAAATAATGGATGAGATAAAATTTCAGTTCACATAGAATGCTTCACAAAGGCCCACTTACAGTTTTAATCTCAGTCAAACTGAGGGAGCCTCTTTGAGATTGTTGATAAGTATTTCGAAGTGATAAAACTTGGGGTTCCCTTACTAAACTAAACACTGTCTTGAACGCCGAATGGGGAAATATTCGTATTGTTGTTTGAAAAACGATGGTCAGAATTAATCTTAGGGTGTGTAATGACGTTCTGAAGCAAAAGAGAGTTGCTGTACTCAACTGAAATTAGCTAACTGGTATTATTAGTGCCCCGTCGCTATATTTTTGTTCCTCTCTAATTGAATAGATTCACGATTAGCTCATTTGTAATGCGTTTTCATCGTTTCTGATTTGCCATACCTTCGGTGACCACTGTATAGAAAATCATACTTTTGGTATTCCGATTGTAGCAGCTGGATAACAAGTTCAGGCGATACTTATCATGCTTGTATTTGCTTCGTGTTGCCTCCCGTATAAATCATTGAGAATAAACTGTGCTCTGATTGGTCGTTCCTTTTACCAATCACATTCCACATTACTCGTTGCATTCACTTCAAACACATTTACCTTTTTAAGTCACATTCAGAATCGGCTCGAAATAAATCAACTGGTGCAAACGCAAGTAAATGTGGGATGAATAGCAGAACAATCGTTGGTAAAATGTAACCCAAAAGACAATCATTAGTGCATGACAGAATGATGGGTTCAAAACAGGGTTGCATTGCGCAGTCAGCTTATACGCCCGGTATGTTATACGATCTGGGAAGCGTAATTAATGCGCCGGTACACACACACACACTGAGCAGCTGGCAACAACTCAAATCCGAAATTCGAACGGTCAGCAAAAGTTTGGTTAGGCGTTAACAAAATCNACACCCACATGAATCATGGATCAATATAGACGAGTGAATACAACATGGTGAAATCAATGCCACATGTTTTGTGTAACTCGATAGAGAAACGGAGCGAAGGGATAAAAGGCACCGACAGAAACCTACTTTGCCTGGTGATAAAACACTTCCAAGGACCTGGTTACAAGTGAGGATAAGAGAGAAAAANAAAATACCTCCTTCAGTTAGGATAACAGTGACATTTACATATACGAAGCCAATATTCTTTTTCTTTGGACCCTTGATGTATTTTGTTGGAAATTAAATATAGTCCATTGTTTCAAACTTGCATGGTTTTCACAAGTAAAACACTAACTTTTATCCATTTTTATCAAAATGTGATTTAGATGTAGGATAAAACCATACCACAATTCGTCTTTCTCATAAACATGTAACTAATGTATATCACGGAATAGGAAAATATCAGAGATAACTATCCTCCATGCAGTAAGAAAAAGCCAAGTCAATAGGGATAGAACGAAATTTGTGAACTTTCAGTTTATGTCCAAAAGTGGCTTAGCCATAACATAATCCAAACGAATTATCGAATGCAGGTCATAACCGATCGTCATTCAGCAAGCAACAATACGAAGCACGAGATCATAGCAGTTCCTTTAATTATGTTCAACGGTATTTGCGATCATACCGGCGAACGAGAATTTCGATCATCGCGCTTCAACGCTTCCGAGTGAAAGCATTTCAAAACGGATTATGGATGCTTATTTAGTGGTCTAAGCATCGATCAGACTACACGCTTCACCACCGTCACTATAAACAACCGGCAGGATTCCAAGCGTTGTGTTTTCCTAAACTCGAAGTTACAAATTCTTGCTTTTTATCTATTCCTAGCGGAGTACTCAAAACCATGACCAAAAGAAGCAGAATCCTGTTCGGGTAAAACCAGTTCCGACGAGAAATACATCCGTCCAATCAGCTGCTATTCACACGACCAAAGCGTCGTAAAAACGGATTAAATCGAACGGCAAAACTTGCTTATGGCACTGGAAAGCGCACCTGGGAGGTGTTGATCATTTTTCTCAAAATGGGCACTACCAAGCAAGGAATTTATTCAAAAGGACTATGCAGTCATTTCCACCAGAACAGTGCGATGGCAAGCAACCAAAGCAAAAGCTTTGTATAACTAAGCCGAAGTTGCAAGCGTTTATGGGGACAAGCTTGACCAGTTCATTAAAAGCGGATAGTTCATAATAGCTAGCCACCCCAGGTCACAGATGAGTGGTATCCAGTTACTCACTGCTTGTTTGACCGGCATTCCAACCTCTCCTTTCACTCGTTTTCTTATCATACGTTTTCGACGGAACATGAGATAGTTCTTCTCGGTCGGCATGAAATTCGTATCGGTCGAGGTTTGTGCATATTCCCAGCCGTCTTCATCACACAGACGGTCTTTGTCCACTTCCCAATCCCCTTCCCAGGTCCAATCATCCTTCAACTCGGTCTTTTCCGGGGCAGGTTTCGGTTCCCCGTAAGCGTCCGAGTACGGGATCTGGGCCGGTTCCCAATTTCCATTCGGTGTTCGACTCTCGTTCACGTACACGTCTTCGACAAATGAGGTTTGATTTGTATCCTGTCGGGGCAAGGGGATGGGGGACAGTGAAATCGAAAAACGTGATCAGCCCGTTTTAAGGAATCGATAACAAATTTTGTGGCTTGAATGAGGGAACAAAGCTAGACAATAGCGATGAAGACAAAGATCAAACTTTTTCTCCCCTGTCCCAAATTGAGGGATCCGGAAGGCAGAAAACATTTTCGGTGACAAAAGCTAATCTCGCAAACGACGCGACTTGAAGTAAACATAGTTACAAAAAGTCATATTTTGACACTTCCATATCTAAGTGCGTTACTAAATTTTAAAATTTTAAATGTCTTTTAATTCCTTTCCAGTTGATTGAATACACAAATGTACAGTCAACTTTCAGGAAGAGCTGCCGCGATACTAAACTTCAATTTGGGATGGATTATCATTCAAATAACTGTTTAGCACCTCGTCAATTTGTAGTGCAATGAACGTAATAAAAGCTTTCTACTTCAGGTCTCATAATTGTTCATTTCCGCCAATGACGGACTGCATTCGAGCAACGTAGTAGAAAGACTTTGGCCTACCAGGCGCTTTCATGAATCCAAAATCGAGCTGTGAAATGATTCCGCCTCCAACGTTCACAGGGTACATCTCCAACCAGCATTCATCATGCTATTTATCCTATCTGCAATATGCCCAACTCAGGGGATAGGCTGACAAAAATATTAGCGGAATCTTGAATTCGATTGCAAAATGCTAGTCCACCATTAAACCGGTCTGTGGGTTGTGAGTTCATATCACACTTTCGTCACCAGCTAGTTATTCCGCTGAATGTGTTATTAAAAATTGAATTTGATTATAGCAGTTATTCGTTTTCTCTCTTTCGTGTTTGGACGGGATAATGTTATTCCCCAATCAGATCTATCTCTCAACTAGATAGAGTGATCAAAGATCATTCTTACCTCTTCAGCCCAAGTTCTACAAGCCCGCCCCTAAATCTCAGCGGTTTTCTCGTGCCCGAAATCTACCTGATTTTCAATAGGTGCAATCCAGTTGAAACCCTATTCATATGCAACCACAGCCCACTCGGAATGTACCCAAGACAACAGAAATATGTCATCCACTCTGGTCACACAACACAGTTGTGAAACACTTCTTTACTTGGATCAGAATTTGATTGGGTAGCAAGTATATACTGGTTTACAATACAATAACCTGGGATATAAACTGTGATACCGCGTAGACAAGCGATGAAACACAACGCTCGTGACTTGGCTAATTTCCTTTGGCATTACATGTGCAAGTCTCGTCAAAACNTTATTCACAGAGAACCGTGTGAACTTACCTGCAATTAACGTCACATACCGTATTTGCCACCATTTTCGCTACTGACTACAGACCTTTACCGTTCTCTTTACTCACCAGTTTTTTGGTAGGCAGTCGGAATTCAAAGTGTGGTAGATTCTGTGCGATAAGCATATTTCGTTCAGGTGGAACTCAGTAAATTCATGAACTGAAAAATCATTCACGTTGCACGTCTTCCAGCTGTAAACTTCATCCGAAAATGTGATAGTTGGTGACGTATGGGGAATAGTGCAGCCATATGTAAAATCTTTAACGGAAGATG